TCTCAGCCCAAGTCAGGTTGATCATGTTTATTGGGGCTTCCAGGAAGGGATTCGTGTCAACCATCATATTGGCCTGCAGTTTCTCCAACAACAACTTTCCCTTTACTATAAGGTCTTGTATCCAGTCCCTGAACTGGACACAGTTGGTTATGGAGTTATTGAAAGTATAATGCAGCTTGCAATACTTATTTCCTCTCAATTCCTCAGGCTTGGACAGTTTTTTAGAGCTGTCGGGCACAATCACTTGGTCCCATACTTCGTTCTTTCTTACCCGCTCTGCCCTCTACTATTAAGTGAAAATAATTGGGGGAGGTCGGGCAACTCTGCTTCTAGGATTTCCTCCAACACTGGCTGATCAATTCTAGATCCCTCCTTATTTTTATCTTTACCATTCTTTTCCTCGAGCAAAGTAAAGAATGGAATAACTAGTTCTTTCTCAGGGCTTGCTCCCCTCACATAACCATTTTTTGGAGTAGAGTACTCAAGATCTAGTCTTCTTTGCAAACTCCCTGTTAAAGAACATAGTCTGCTTACTTCTGGGAAATCTTTTCCATACTTCTCAGTACTTGTACGATGGTGATTTGCAAGTCCTCATTGGTCACCTTCCCTCCTGACTTCTTGGATGAAGTCGGGCTTTCTAGAATAGTTAGTCCCTGGATGGAAGGAAAATCCTCTAGATGATTTGTCATGCTTACTTTTGGTAAATACTGGGGTGGCTCGTATTCTATATTCCACCTGAAGGCTTTCTCCTTCCTTCTTCTCCTTGGCATACAAGACTAAGTGTATCCCACCGAGCGTGCCAAAATTATGTTCGGGTGAAGATTTCTCCGAAGATGACCCATCGACACTCAGCACAGCTCCCCAAGGGATTGTCACTTTGGATGTGTAGTCGGGCTCTTGCCTGTTGATGTGCTGCAAGAAAATGACAGAGTTAGATTTGAAAGGTGCCTTTGTGGGGCCTTAGGTGTAGGCCTTGAGGCTCGCAATCAAAACTAACTAAGTACTATGCGTGCCACTGCTATCTCAGTATAGCAGATATAGAACAAGATTGTGTTTAGTCGATTACTTGTGCCCCAAGTTACTCAGATTTCTTGTTATCAAAAGATTGTCGTGGATGGGTTAAGTCCACATTAAGTTCTTTTTCTTGCCTTGTGACCAAGGACTTTCAATTCATAGTCTTGTATATTCTAATAAGGGGAGTCCATATCCCTTAAGTCATTTGTTTGGTTCTTGGTTGGTTTTAATGAAAACATATTCATTAAGCTACCCATATCCAGATACAAATAAGACTTCTAAAGTAAGAAAACAAGCGGAAATGACTTGAATACATGTTGTAGAATACATGAAGTAGTAGATCTAATATCTTAGAAAACTCACAAAGAACTTTAATGAAGATTTCACCTTGTCGGTCAAGGTTGATCTTCTTGCAAACACTTCTCTTTGAGTTTACAGAGGTTTCTATGCTAAAAAGGGATGGATGGTAAACCAGTTTACATAAGGGAATCGATACTACGCCACTAGGGATGATAGCCGAGCTTCTAAACAAGACAAAAGATAGCTTTTGTGAGGGAGATATCCTGAAAAGGACTGAGATTTTGGTTGATTACAGCTTTTAGATGCAAATCTGGCTTGAGAGCAGAGTTTGTATGTTTGTTTAGTTGATTGGTCGAGTGTCCTTGTCTCTAGGTCTCTTCCTCCTTTTATAGGCAATTTAGCCCGACTGCAGTGACTTTGTTCTTGCCCGAAAGCACTTGGAGGGTAGTGAGTCATCAGCTTTTTACTTGTATTGCCACTGAAAAGTGCTTTTTGGCTGATTGTGAGTTAGTCCTCATCACTTGACATTTAAATCATAAGCACATGGCCTATGCATTATTGGGAATGCGCCAATTTGTCTATGGGCTTGATGCTTGGGCCTCGGGCAAGTCTCCCTTCTAATTGGCATTTCTAGGCTTCCACATACTTGCAGCTCAATGTTCAAATATTAACTCAAAAATTAGGATATATTTTAGATCATTGGTATTCCTACTCAACCAGTGTTATGCTCTTTTTACACAAATATAAACTTGAAACCCAACAGTTTCTTTGGCTCTCATGAGCTCATTGGCATCAAGACCAACGTGGACAAGCCTGAAGAATGATGATATTGCATGACGGAAGCTTCGTCGTGATCAGTTAATTGCATATATAGATGTGCGATAAATATTCATGTGCATTATCTCAAAAATCAATTATTTGCAGGTCAAAATACTGCTGCATCTGTATTAACCATGAAATGTTCTGATTTCTGAAGAGAACAAAGAAGCCAGAATGGCCGAATCGGAGTTGCATAAAACATAAATATAGTCATGCCATAAGTTAATCATTTCAAATAACACCATAAACTCACCTTAACTTACCTGCGCATCCCGCGTTCACCTTAGCACTTAAAAGCATTCACAACAATAGTATTATAAAATATATAGATATATATATATATATATATATATATATATGATATGGCATAAAATGTATAAATCAATTTAAAAGCATTTGTGGAACTAGGCGGCGATCATTCGTGACGCCTCGATAATTGCGCTAGGGAGTTGTAGCGCGGACTCCAGATGAGTGGGTTTTTGTTATATATATATATATAGGCTTCCCAGAAACTGTTTTTAAAATGAACTTGTGTTTTAAATGCCATATCAATTGCATTACATTTTAGTATATGCAATAGTATAGTTATGCATATTGTCGTTTGGTGCTGCGGACGCTCAGGTAAGCTCTATGTGAGTATATATTGATGGTAGTGATGGTAGTGTATATGGTTATGTCGAGATACATTCAGTGCTTATTATCCTGCATCCCGGTGTTAGTGCTCTGCTTGAGGCCAGGGCCTAGCCTTCACGTGATCGTTCACCTCCCGCACCATATGCTCACCTTGGATCTAAGGCAGGTGCCAACTTGTCGTACAGACCACCTTAGGTGGTTCTGACTCATAGGTGACATGCGATACTTCGCACAGCCTTCACGTGATCATAACACTTGAGCGTGCTTATTTACACCTAGCCTGTCATACAAACCACATTACGTGGTTCCGGCTCGTGTGCAGGATTTGGTAGATGAGTTATGGGCTCAGCTGTACAGGTCACGTTAGGTGACTTCAGTTGACATATCATTTTACATTGATTTATTTTACCTGGCTTACCAATTTCATTGCTGAGATATTTGACATGGCATATACTTGGTTTTCGCTATTCTCGAGTATGATTTCTATATATTTATGTATTATTTTTTGGGAAATTATACAGGTTTTACGGTGAGGGGTTATTATGTTTGGAAAGTGAAATGGTTTTGAAAAACTTTGTTTTTGCCCACTCATGTTTTTTGTTTTTCGCCCCTCTAGGTTTTAGTTGCTAAAAGTTCGTATCGACGAGGATTCTTGGCGAATCTTAGTATAGGTGGCTACCTCTGGGTTCATTCCTTCTCACAGCGCACTCTGGCCTTTAGGCACTTTTAGGTTTAAATTTATTGACATTTTCCACATCAATCCACTTTTTGGCTTCGTCACCTTCCAGGTGTCGGCCAACACAGCCTAATTCGGAGTCCTAGTGGACATTCGGGGTCGGGGTGTGTCACATTGGACCCAGAGAATAGCTTCGGGCTTCATATTTTGGAGGTGGTGTAAAGATATTCCACTTTATTTTCTTCAGTGGTTTCATTCATGATCATTGTTGTCTCGAATATCCTTAAAACTCAAAGACGTTATTTAGGACTGGGGAGAATATAAGGTCTCTATAATGGTAATGCAGTACCATTTATACAACAAGGAACATGCAAATGCTCTTAATCAGGTTGGATAGACCCGAAGTCGTTGCTAGAAAGGTGATTTCGAAGTTAGTGTGCGTAGTATCACATTCATCTAGACAACTGACTTTCCCACATTTGTACCTAATCACATGTTTAATTGAATTCGGTCACATGTATATGAAACATGATTCAATTAACTCATATTTGATGACAATATTAACATTATCTATAAATTATCTATAAATTAAAACAAACACCTAACATAAATTCAAGAACATAGAAAATTGTTCATAAAGTAAATTAAAGTCACCTAGGGGATTCGACCAACAAGACCATCCATGTCAAAATTTTGCTCTTCCAAATGTGTTAGGTGGAGCAAAATTAGTCTCACATATTGATTACGGGAATAATATTCCTCAACAACATTGGTAGGGGCTCAAACATATGCACAACCACTGATCTCTACCATCAAAACGAAAGTAGATTTGCAAGGTCGAGGGTGGGGAATATTATCCCTTATTCTTAAAGGTTTAGGTCTTATGTGCCAAGGATCACGCTTCGGGTTGCAATGCCACCCCTTGGCGAGCATTGATTCTACCGTATGTTGTAAAACAAACCCTAGAATTGGTGAGAGAGAGAGAGTCTTAGATTCAAAATGTTTTAGCCGAACCTTGCGAGTTTATTTGGTACATCTGTGCCGAAGCAAAGCATGTTGTTCAGCAAGCTCTAACTAGAATTGCTAAACATTGAAAATATTTAAGACCAAAATTAAATTTACCCCTCATTAATTCTGTACCTTGGGCCTTTGAACCCATTATTGCCAAAAGAAAAGGAAGGAGTTTATGACACCATATTAAAATATATACATTCAACCTAAAACACTTTGTGCTCCTTTCTCTTCCCTAAAAACCTCTAAAGCTTTGAAACCCTTCCTGCCGTCGGCTCCGTGCTCCGGCTTGAGGTCAGTGGCAGCCCTGTGCCCACCTCTCCTTCCTCTTCTCCTTTCTTCCACCCTCTGAACCCTTCCTTTCTCCCATTCTCTCCTTGTTTTTCGTCCCCCTTTCTTCCACCATCTGTTACCTCCATATCTCCCTTTCTCTCCCTTTGTTTTCCCCTACCTTCCCATCTCCCCCTTTTCCCCCCGACTCCACCCTAATTTTCACTTGTCCAAACCACCATGGTTGGTGATTTGGATTTTCTTTTTATGCATTTACCTTTCACCTTTCTCATTTCTGAGCATTTTGTGTCTCAGTTTGCTCTAAGCTTAGTCTCAATTGTCCCTTAGCTTATCTCAGAACTGGCTTCTATGCCCTGCTCCTTTCCAAACATCGCTCTTCAGTGTGAATTTGTAACCATCTACCCTTGTTGCTCGTTTCATTGGGTGTCGCTTCCTAGGATCTCATGCGGAGGTGCACTTTGGTGGCTTGTAGCATTTAAAGTGCATTTTGAACTAGTTGGTAGGATTATGGGAGCGCTCTCAGCACGGGTAGCTTGCCTACCCCCATTTTTCGTTCATCCACTTGGTTCTTCGACCCTTCTTTCAGGTGATGGTGACAGATCAGCAATGGCGATGATGTTGTTTTGGTGGAGGTGACTGCTTTACATTTTCATGTCTAGACTTTTCTGGTTGTTAGTTGCGTTAGACTGCACACTTTGGGCCCATTTCATTGTAATTTTCTTTATGAAGTTGGGTTTTTGGTTGGTTATTCTGGATTCCCATTTTGAGTTGTTCTTACACCTTGTACTAGTTTTATTTTTTAATGAAATTTAGTTCGATTGAAAAAAAAAAAGAAAGAGAAGGAAGGAGTTTCTCTCCCTTGGGCCTTTTTAGCAAAAATATGCAACAAGGATCGAGCTTCTGATATTCCAGATTATAGAGAACCCGCGGCGACCAATCAATTCCTTTCCAAAACCCTAGAAATACAAAATTTCACAATATTGATTTCTTCCTCTTCTGCTAAACCTAGGGGGTTTCGACGAACCCTAGCTCGGAGAAGATTGACGAGCAATTCTGAATCTAGCGATGGACTTCGACGAGTACGATTATCTGGAGAAGACTGTGCAGGAGAACGACGACCGCGAGTCCAAGCAGAAAACGAGCAAGAAAGGGACCGAGAAGAGCTACAGGAAGAGAGATGTTGACGACGACGTTTCGTTGGGCGGCGAGGAGGACGAAAGGAAGAGCAGTAAGAGGTCAAAGGCGGAGCACGAGAACGGGCGCGAGAAGGATCGGCACCATCGAAGTGGGAGGGAGAGAGACCGGGACAGTGAAGGGGATAAGGACCACGATCGTGATCGTGATCGCGAGAGGGAGAGAGACAGAGAGAGGAGTAGCAGAGAGAAGGACAGGGTCAAGGAGAAGGAGAAGGACAAGGAGAGAGAAAAAGAGCGGAGGGAGAGGGATAAGGAGAGGGAAAGAGAGAGGAGAGATAGGAGAGAGAGGGAGGACAGAGAGAGAAGAGAGAAAGAGGAGAATGAGAGGTCTCGGAGGAGTGTGAGTCGGTCCGACCGCGAAGAGAAAGAGAGGCCTCGCAGGAGTAGTGACCGAGAAGAGAGAGAGCGATCTCGCAGAAGTAGGAGCCGCTCTGAACGCGATAGGGAGAGGGAAATTAGAGAAAGAGATCGAGAGCTTGAGTTGAGGGAGAGCAGGTAATAAAACAATGCGTTTATTCTTCAATTTACTTAATTTATGTTCGTTTGGTTTTGCTAGTTTCATACATTTATTAGCTTCTGGTATTTCTACTAGTTTTCTCTTCATCGTCGATGCTGGTGCTTGCATCTGAATTTTATGTGGTAATGTAAATTGTTTTGTGGGAACTACATATCATGCTTTGTTCCTATAATGTCTGATTATTATTTTTGTTTTAAAATTTTTATCATCTGTTTTTGTGCTTGGTTTTTGTAATATCTCTTATAGATCCGCATTGTACCCTTTTCTTCTTTCACTGTTGATTATTACTTGATGTGAACTCAACTGTTCTGTTTTGGTGAAAATGTTGAATTTTGTAATTTGGAGAGTATAAAATCTCAATAATACACCATATTGTGTATCTCAGTTAATTGTCAAGATTTTTGCTAATACGTCGAAAATTGCAATTGGCAATACGATGATGTATAGGATAATTTTTTCTTTCATTGTTATTTTATGTCGAACAATGTCACTGAAAGTTGATACCAAATGTCTCAAAATGTTTTTGTTATATGGATTTGCCTGGCTTATGAGAGGCAGTCTTTAAACATTCAATTTGAAAATGGTTAATTCTAATACAGTTTAAAATTGTTTAACCGTGTCAAATGACATTTAAATGGCAGGAGGTTTAAGGACAAAAAGGAAGCGGTGGAGCCGGAAGCTGATCCAGAAAGGGATCAGAGAACTGTTTTTGCTTACCAGGTATCTGGCTTGCTGTTTTTGGCTCTTCAGAAATTTTATTTATATTTGCAATGAATTCTTAGCCTAATTCCTTCTGTAAGGTTTCTTAGAACTTACAGCTTTGATAATATGATTAAGATTGGAAAATTATGTTTAGTACATGCTGAAATGGTTCATATCCACAGGGAAATAGTCAGAAAATGAGCTGGTAAAAAATACACAACAATATGAGACAAATGAGAGGTGGTTTTAACTGTTTAGAAATTTAAAATCAATTTAATTTTTGTTTGGTTTTAAAATTTTAATTCGCACATGTCGAAAGATTGTTGACATGGGAAACCTAATTTCCTAAGTTGTGGAACCTTATGAATTTCATTTTGCAATATATCTCACTATTTTTTGGTTGGTTAATAATCTGGTGATGACAGATGCCACTGAAGGCAACTGAACGAGATGTTTATGAATTGTTCTCAAAAGCGGGCAAGGTTGGCTTAACTTCATTCATTCTTTCTTTCTTTTACATTTTAGATGTTTTTTCTTCTAATTCTCTTTATAAAGGTTATTTTATATAATAATAGCAGCATGTACATGCTATACATGTGTGAGTTAACTATTACATAAAAGAAAAGTTTTTTTTTTTTTTGGTTAGAAAAAAAATTAGAAAAGTCAGTATCCGTAAGTCAGTTTGAAATAAAATTACTACAATGCCCTTCATTTTAAATGTAAGTATTAAGACTCATAAGAATAAGGGAAAACTTCATATAACAAGGTTTTGTACCTTTAATTCTCATTTTGTGACACCTTGCATTATGATTCTGGTTACTCCTACATATCTGAGAATAATTTCAATCTTGTTGCATGAGATGCTCTTCAAATGCATGTTATTGAGATTCATTTGCTTCCTGTTGCAGTACATGCTCCTCTGCCTTCAGTTACGAGTAATATAATGACTTTATATTCTCTCAACATTCTGTATATGAGGGGTGAGTGAAAATGTACAAATGAACTATGTGGGCATCTTATGAACACCCCAAACTAGGTGTTTTATCATGCTGTGTCAATATCAAAAACCTCTGTATAAGCCAATTTTCTTTCAAGTACATAAATTTCTAAGTGATCTCAACTTGTCTAATTGTTTTTCTTTCACTGTCAGGTGAGGGATGTACGCCTGATCATGGACAGGAATTCTAGACGGTCAAAAGGAGTTGGGTATGTGCATTTAAATGAAACTGTATCATAGACACGTGTGTTCTTTGTAAGATAAATGATAGTATATCATCCTTTTAGAATCAAGTTTAACTGTATTCTTTAATAGACTAGCAATGCGATAATGATGAGGGATGGTGGGAATACCTTGCACTCATGTTTAATCAATTCATGCTGCGTACTCAAGGTAGATGACATAAACCTATTTTACATCCTTTCCTGTTTTCTTCGTCTTCATGTTTTGTGTTACAAGGGCCATTCTGAATCCCGGTGCACCTTTTGGAAAAATTTCATCTAATGGTCCTCCCATTTGGTGATATTATTTATGATAGTAGATTATTTTTTATGCAAAAATATCTCAGGGTAGGGTCGGTGGAGAAGTTTATCTCCATTTCCCTTTGTTCCAGTGTTTCATAAGCTCTAAGTCTATTGACATCTCTATGATCTTTGAGTCCTAGTTAAGGCAATATGTATGTATAATGTATGTATGTACATGTAAGTTTACTGTTAAGTTTTTGTGATTGGGATTTTCATTATCAAACTTGTAGCTCCTAGTGAACTAGAAGAAGACTTGCTTCAAATTTCCCCCCATTCTGCCTTTTTCTATAGTATTCATTAATCGATCAATTTTTAATGAAATATTTGTTATTTTCTTTATTTTATTGTGATGAGCTAACATTTTCTTTTATATGAGTCATCAGATTCATCAAAAGAAATTCAGCTTGAGCTTTCTGCCTAGTTTTTGTTTCCCTACATCTCTTTGATATATGCTTTGTAAGTTTTGACTAGAATACTTATGGTCATGTATATTCCATCAAACTTACTATAAAGGCCCGGTGATACTGCAGGTATATTGAGTTCTATGATGCAATGTCTGTGCCAATGGCTATAGCTTTTTCTGGCCAACTACTTCTGGGGCAACCTGTAATGGTGAAACCTTCGGAGGCTGAAAAGAATCTTGTTCAGTCCAACACAACGAGTGGGGCTGCAGGTGTTGTAGGGCCATATGGTGCGGTTGATAGGAAACTGTATGTGGGGAACTTGCATTTTAACATGACTGAGACTCACCTTAGAGAGGTATTTATGCTCAGTTCATCTAGGTTTAATGTTCTAAATATATGTGTATGAAGTTTTTCCAGAGTAAATATTTGTATGTAACAGATAAGGAAATGAAGTCTACTTCAAATGAAAAGGAGGGAGGTGTAACTTCCTAGTATATATTTGTATATTTATAGTCTTATATATATTTTACTATTTTAATCTAAATTTTTATTCGAAGTTTACCCTCCTATATAATTATGTGGCCCCTTAGCAATTTAATAACCAAGGGCCTTTTTTTATGGGATTATGAAAGTTTCACCTTTTCACTTCTTCCTTATGTGTATATATATACATATATAGATTAAATGTGCACACACTCACTGATGTTTTAAAAAACTAGCCTTGAGGCTAGCCTGGGTGTGTTCTTGGGCATGGCTATACATGTAAGCTGCCGTATATTATCTATATGTAAGCTACTGGATGGCTACATATGTGTTCATGTGAAATGTATACTTTCACAACAGCAAACACATAAAAAGAAAGAAAGGGAGTGCAAGATTATGATGAACTGTCATTCCTTAGGATTTATTATAGACACCATGAGTAGAATCATAGATAAGAGTACTGATTCACTGAAGGATCACATTTTATGCTGTTCTCAGGGTCATGGAGACCATGCTATAAAGTAGGACTAGACAGCAGTTGGAAATAGTAGTATTCCCGAATTTCAACTCTGTCATATATTTTGAGTTCGTTTATAACCATATATTTCTATGTTGAATGCTCAGATTTTTGAACCGTTTGGACCAGTGGAGCTTGTGCAACTTCCCCTTGATCTTGAGACAGGACAGTGCAAGGGTTTTGGCTTTGTTCAAGTCAGTGTCTACTTCTCATTTTAAGTTTAGAAGATTGTTACATTTTGTTGGTGCTTATTTATTTGTTCATTATGTTTATAGTTTGCTCATCTAGAACATGCAAGGGCTGCTCAAAGTTTGAATGGAAAGTTGGAGATTGCTGGTCGAACTATCAAGGTAGGCTTGTATTTTTTTGTAATAGTTTTGATGGGAAGTTGAATGTTAAAATTTCTAGTTTATTATGGTGGCTGCTTGTCAGCAGCTATGGAACTTTTGTAGTTATTTTTGTGAGGAGTCGTGGTGAACACTTATTGGACACTTTGTGTGTAGGTTTCATCTGTTACAGATCATGTTGGATCTCAAGATGCTGGAGCAAAATCTGCAGACTTTGATGATGATGATGGGGGTGGTTTGGTGAGTTTCAACATTTTCATTATGTTGATGACTATTAGTAAGTTCACGAATACTTAAAGCACTAGATTTTAATGTAAAGGAAAAAAAATTAAATGTCAAATGAGTGTGAATATTAATAAAATATCAATGTTTAGACTAAATGATGGAAGTTTTGACTGAAATATTTTGATAAAGAGTATTTATAAAGGGGACTACTATTGGCACTCCAAAAATCTAATTGTGCACTCCTCATAAGAGTATTTGTATTTAATCTTAAAAAACACTCAAGAAAAAAGGTTATTTTTGATATCTAATACTATGCATGTGTGTGTGTATTAAGGTTTAGGTCAGGTCCTGAATGTCTTTATTACTCGACTGTATAGATATCTAACACTATGCATTAGTATTATATATTTGCATGTATACATGCATAGTGTTTGTACCATACTTGACCAATTCCGAAACTACTGAGCACCGGTCAACGTTATACCGTCAAGAACCCAGAAGAGTCTCCCTCAAACCAGGAGGCCAATCACAGCGCGACACGTGTCAACATCAGAAGCCAATCACAACACGACACATGTCAATGTCAGAATGAAACTAGAAACTCTCTTCTATAAATAGAGATTATTTTCTCATAATATTTCCTAATGTCATTTGTACTAAATCATTCACTAGTACTCACTAAAGGAGAGCTTGAACCTATGTACTTGTGTAAACCCTTCACAATTAATGAGAACTCCTCCACTTCGTGGACATAGCCAATCGGGTGAACCACGTACATCTTGTGTTTGTTTCCCTGTCTTTATCCGTTTACTTACTTATCCACATTATGACCGGAGCAATCTAGCGAAGGTCATAACCTTAACACTTTCTGTTGTATTAAAGTCCTCGCTGATTTTGTGCATCAACATTTGACGCCGTCTGTGGGAACGACACTTATTCCCACTCTCTTTAGCTTTGTCAAGTTGGTTTCCACCATTCGTACACTCTCTTTTGACCAGGCATCCCTCTCCAACATGAGGAGCGAAGGAAGCCACAACACACAGAATGACACCCCTTTTGCACCTAGTACGAAGCAACGAAAGAAGGAAGGAAAAAGGGTTGCTCTTCAAGCTAAAGTCGATGAGTTAGAAGCTCAGAACAACAAGATAGCAATGAAGAATGAGGTCCTCTAGGAGCAGTATGAGAAGCTCTTTGAGACGCTCCACGAAACTAGGCGTACTCAAACATGCGAGCTCGTTGCCCCTGTGGATATCAACCATCATCTAGGTGTTATTAGGGAGAATGATATAGTTAGTGAAAAACAGTTTGTTAAAGCTAAGTGTAGTTAGTTTTATTAGTACTTGTAATTAGTTAAGGTAGTTGAGGGTATTATTGTAACTAGCCTAAAGTAGCTAAGCCTATATATATTCACATCTGTGTAACTGAATTATTCATTCAATACCATTGTAAATCTTACATAGGAAGTTTTCTCTTTCTATATGGTATCTTGCCATTCTGCTTCACAGCATCGACCTTCGCTTCCGTTCGTCAACTCGATCGATTTCTGATCGATTTCTCACCTTCTCTCTGATTCTTTGATCTGTCTTTGATCTTTCTTGAATCTTGATCGCTGCAAGAAATGGCTGCTCAATCTACATCGCCACCGACTGGGTCGTCTTCTCCGATCATCTCTCCTTCGAACCAAAACCCTAATTCCTCTTCTAATCCCAGTCGTCTGAATTCGTATACCTCTCTTACGATTCACAACATCGGTAGTATGGTGCCGATCAAGCTGAAAAGGTCCAATTATCTGCCATGGCGCGCTCTGTTTGCTCCAATTTTCCGGCGATACAAACTCCTTGGGATTATTGATGGCATTGAGATCTGTCCTTCGCCATACTTGCCCGATCGATCGCTGAACCCTGCCTTCGAGGATTGGTATGAAAAAGATCAAAATCTCTTGATCTGGCTTAATTCTACTTTATCCGAAAAGATCATTCCTTTCACAGTTGGGGTTTCCTCTTCTCGTGAGCTCTGGTTGAAATTAGAACAACGTTTTGGTGGAATTTCGAAGGCTCATGTTCACCAATTGTGATCGAGGCTTCAATCAATTCAAAAAGGTTCTGAGTCCCATCTCTGAATATCTTCAACAAATCAAGGAAATTGCTGATTCCTTGCAAGCTGATGGTGCTTCAGTCTCTGATCGTGACCTAATTGCTGCCATCCACATGGATTGCCTGATGAATTCGAATCCTTTATTGATTCCATCATGCTCCGATTATCTTCTACCTCTCTTGATGAACTACATGGCCTCTTACTCACCAAAGAGTTGTCTATGGCTCGTCGCAAGACTGTTTCTTCATCCTCTGCAATTGAGCCGTTTCAAGCTTTCTCTGTGCAATCTCAGCCTCCTCTACTGCCTACTCCATCTGCATTTGCTGCTCAGAACCAACCTCTTCAATCTGCTTCTCGGTTCAACTCAAGTTGGGGCAAGCCATCTCGAGGTAATTTCTCCTCCAATCGCAGCAATCGCAACTTCCATAATAATCGTGGTAATTTCTTCAACAATCGTGGCAATCGGACTTATCAAGGCTCTCGCAATTATCAAAGTTCTACTTTCAAAGTTCCCTGTCAGATCTGTGGTTCCACTAGTCATGAGGCCTTTGACTGCTTTGATCGTATGAATCCGGACATTTGTGGTCGCATTCCTCCGGCTAAACTTGCTGCTATGTGTGTGCATCATTCTGCCAAATCCTCTCAGCCGTGGTTAATTGATTCTGGCGCAACCTCTCACATTACTAATGATGTAGCCAATATCTCTTCTCCTACTCCTTACACTGGAGAGGACAAAGTGTATATTGGAGATGGTAAAGGCTTATCTATTCAAAATACTGGTTCATCATCTCTGCACACTTCTCATTCCTCTTTTAAGCTGAGCAATGTTTTACATGTTCCCTTCATGAAACATAATCTCTTATCTGCTTATCAATTTCTTAAGGATAACAACTGTTCATTGACTCTTGACCCTTATGGATCCATTGTTAAGGATCGCATTTCAGGGAAGACACTTTTGCAAGGACCTGTTAAAGATGGTTTATATCCTTTACAAGGTTCTATCAACTCTTCTCCACCTTCAGCTTTTCTTAGCATCAAAGCACCTATCACAGTATGGCACAAGCGCTTAGGACATCCTTCCTCCTCAATTTTCCGAAGGGTCTTATCTACCAATAATCTTGCTTTGCAAGGCAAGCAAACTGTTGATTTTTTCTGCTCAGATTGTGCACTTGCTAAGAACCACAAGCTTCCTTTTGGAGTGGCTTCTTCATCAACAACTCAAAGTCTTCAACTTCTACATTATGACATATGGGGACATGCTTCTATCACATCTAATAGTGGTTTCAAATATTACTTGCTACTTGTTGACAACTTTAGCAAATATAGTTGGTTTTTCCCATTGAAGTCCAAGTCCGATGTATTTTCTACTTTTGTTACTTTCAAAAACTATGTAGAAAACTTCAACAACAACATTTTCATAAGGATTCGACGTGAGAAAACTTCAATGGCAATAAAATCAAGATTCTGCGTTCCGATTCAGGGGGGTGAATTCACTACTAACTCTCTTGCTTCATTTCTTCGTGAACATGGCATATTACATCAGTTTAGTTGTCCTCATACCCCTGAACAAAATGGCTGTGCAGAGAGGAAACATAGACATCTTGTTGAGACAGCTAGAACATTACTTTTTGCTTCTCATGTTCCTCATATTTTTTGGGTTGAAGCATTCTCCACTGCTCTATATCTCATTAATAGACTTCCTATTTCTGGATTAACAAAGTCACCGTGGGAACCTTTCTTCAACCATCCTCCAGATTACTCAAAATTGAAAGTCTTTGGATGTCAATGTTATCTGAGGCTTAAATCGTACATTCACAGTAAATTGGATGCTAAGAGTAAAAGTTGTGTGTTTTTGGGATATAGTCTTCAACATAAAGGCTATAGGTGCCTTGATCCCATTACAAATCGCATCTACATATCAAGACATGTTGTTTTTGATGAACACTCTTATCCATTTCAGTCATTGCAGATTTCAAGTTCATCTTCCACCTCTTCATCATTTTTGGATCTTCATTTCCACAAACACTTATCAAGTTCTCCTAATGCAAGTACTTCTTTAGCACCACTGTGTTCCTTTGCTCCTACTTCTATTACAACTCAGCATTCTTCAAGTCATCAGTGGATACTTCTCCAAGTTGTTCCAGTTCTGTCTCTATCTTAGACTCCTCTCTCTTGCCTTTTCAGCCAAGTCATCTACCTATTTCTGCAAATACACATCCTCTGATTACAAGATCTAAAGCTGGAATCTTCAAGACTCGAGCTTATGCAGCCACCAAACATCCACTTCCTGTTGATATTGACTTTGTTCCTAGTACGTATTTGCAAGCATCAAAACATGCTCATTGGAGAGCTGCAATGCAAGCTGAGTATAATGCTTTAATAACCACTGGCACTTGGTCTCTTGTTCCATCTCATCCTTCTCAGAATGTTGTTGGTTGTAAATGGGTTTTCCGGATCAAGAAAAATCCTGACGGCACCATTGATAGACACAAAGCCCATCTAGTGGCCAAGGGCTTTCATCAACAAGGAGTGGATTTTCAGGAAACTTTTAGTCCTGTTGCTAAACCGGTTACCATTAGGATTCTTCTTACACTTGTTGTTCAACAAAATTGGTTTTTGAACCAATTAGACATCAGCAATGCCTTTCTTCATGGCGATCTAAAAGAGGATGTTTATATGCAACAACCCCCTGGTTTTGTTGATCCTAACTCTCCCAGTTTTGTTTGCAAGCTGCAGAAATCCTTATATGGTCTTAAACAAACTCCTCGAGCTTGGTTTGATAAATTGTTCCAAGCTCTTCGTACACTTGGTTTTCATCAATCACAATTGGATGCTTCGTTATTTGTTCTCAATGGTCCTCACTTGGTTATTGTCCTTGTCTATGTCGATGACATTTTAGTCACTAGGCCTAACTCTCAGCT